TTTCGTGTCTTGACTTTGGCAAATTGAAAGGTTCCATTCCAACGAGTTATCCTCAACTATCAGTACGTCATGCGCTCTACTCAAGGCGTCAACATGTTGCATGCGACTTCCGGGACGGTGTTCAGTCTCATATTCAAAACCCTGCATTTCCAAAACCCATTTCGAAATTCTTAAATTTATCTCTTTTTTGTCCAATGCCAATTTAAGTGAATTGCAATCAGTGACTATTTTAAACTTCATCCCCTGGAGGTAGACGCGAAACCTTCTCAAAGCATAAACAATTGAGAGCATTTCCAGTTCAAAACTGTGAAGCTTACTTTCCGCGGGACTTGTTCTCTTCGAAAAAAAGAATATTGGGTGAAATTTACCGTCCTCCTTTTTCTGCATGAGGACCGCTCCGAACCCTACACTGCTTGCATCGCAATGCAGTTCGGTTTGGTCAAGAGGACTGTAAATTCCCAACAAAGGCTCTTCTATTAACTTCTTCCTTAATTTCTCAAATGCAAGGAACTCTCTTTCCCCAAAACGAAATTTCGCGTCGGCCTTCAGGAGATCGTAAAGAGGCTTTGCATGAAAAGCAAACCCTTCAATAAATTTTCTAAAATATTGGCACAATCCCAAAAATCGCTGAACATGACGCACGCTAGTCGGAACTTGGAATCTTTCAATTGCTTCAAGTCCTCGTTTTGACGGTCGCACTCCCTCCTCCGATATGCGATATCCCAAATATTCTACCTCAGTATACATAAAAAGACATTTGTCTAATCTAAGCTCCATTTTATTTCTCACTAAAATCTTAAAAACTTTTCTTAAAATCTCGATTTGTTCATCCACCGTCTTTGTCGCAATCATAAAATCGTCTAAATACGTCATTATCTCTCCAGAACGAAGCAACTCTGAAAACACTAAGTTCACAAATCTTTGAAAAGCAGACGGTGCCGTCTTTAGTCCGAAAGGTGTAAAATTATACTCATATTGACCCAAAGGGGTAATGAATGATGTATATTTAGTCGATTCTGGGGACACACTAATGTGGTGAAAAGCGTCTCTTAAATCTAAAAGTGTAAAATATTTTTTTCCCGCTAAACCATTTATTAAATCCTCAATTAAGGGGAGGGGAAAATTATCTCTCAAAATTTTTTTATTCAAAAAACGATAGTCTATACATAATCTCCAGTCCCCATTTTTTTTCTTTATCAATACAATTGGGGAAGCGAATTCAGAGTTACTCGGTTTTATTATTTTTCTTTTTATCAATTCGTCTAAAATTTTTTGTAACTTAATTTTCTCGTCATACGAGAGACGCCTAGCCGGAAAATAAAACGGTGTCGAGTCAGTCAAAATCAATTTTAATTCTACCTTTACATCTGGGAACTCAGGCCTCTCAGGCTCCAAATAATTAACCTTAAATTCATTAAGCAATCTCGTCTTGTCTTGATAAGAAATCTCAGGATTAATATTCAAATCTGACTCGTATTTATTATCTACAAAACAAATATCAATATTCATTAACTCATTCGTCGCGTCATTCAAATCTTTACAATTACCTTCACCTGATTTCGCAAATGTCAAACCGAACAATTTTAAAACATCTCTTCCTAAAACAAGTGAACTTCTCATTGTATTATTTGGAACTACTTTTAAATTGATATTGTTTTTCACGATTCCATCAAGAACAATGCTTACATTTACTGACCCCAGAATAATTAAATCCGAATTATTAATCCCTGCATATGAAAAGTTACTATTATTTGTTTTATCTATCGACCATTCACTTATACTATTCATACGTACAAAACTGATTGGACTTCCTGAATCCAAAGTACAATTTAATTCGACTTTCTTACCGTTAGCTGCAACTACAACCTTCTTAAAAAATCCCTCGTCTCCTGTTGATTGATCCACAAAGTTGATTGTTGTTGTCGTCTTCTTCTTACTGCAATCTCGAGCTATGTGTCCCTCTTCACCACAGTGATAACAGGTTTGTTTTGTTGGTTGTCGACATTGATTCGCCATGTGTCCTGGTTTCCGACATTTATAGCATTTCACCTTCTTCTGTGACTCGCCTTCTGTTCTCGTCGTGGTTTTTGTTTCAGTCACCCTCGAATCACTTTTCGTTTGTCTTCCAGCTGTTTCATGCGTGAGAGTTATTTTTGAGAAAACCTCCAACAAGCTCGATGGAGTACTGAATCCTCGAATCCTGGCCTGATTCCTCAACTGCACATCAGGAATGCCATCGATGACATACTCAATTATTTCATCCTCCTCGACTGGCACCTGGTTGGCAAGGATTAATTTAGAATGATAGTAATCACTAAAGGATTCATTTTTTTGCCATTGTCTATTTTCGAGAAGACGTCGTCGTTCCAGTTTCTTAGGTCGATGATCAAACATTTTTCGCATCTCTGATAGCAACTCATTTATTTCCATCTCTATATGATTCGCCCGTGAGTGAAACCACTGCAGTGCTGTTCCTCTCAACTTAGAAGTCAAAAGTATTCTTGACATGTTAACCTCGAGATTAAATGTGGAAATCAAAAGCAGCAATTGTTTTTGCCACTCTTGGAAATCCCTGTTACTGCCATCAAACTCGCCCAACAAATCGCTTATTGCTTTGATGCTCAAATTAGTTTGAGAATTTGTTCGGCTGTCTCCAGAAAGAGTCGTTGCTGGTCGTGTTCGTTGTGTGAACTCCCTCTCTCTATTAAGCAATTCCCTCTCTCTCCTAATAAGTTCCATCTCTCTTCTAAGGTACTCCGCGTCGTTTAACTGAGGATCCCCACCACCATCATCAATTTGGTTACCTCCTGTAGTACCTCCCGCACCACCTCCCAACGAAGGGTCGACAAGAGGGGGTTCAGTCTCCAAATCATCATTCATCCAGGCGTCGGAGGGGTCATACTCCTGTAATCGATGTATGAGTTCCGTTTTGTTCCCACTCGTTGATAGCCCCCTTCTCTTCAACATTTCCCTGAGTTGAACGAGCAAGAAATCACCTGGGTTTTTCACCATGTTGCCGATTACTCGAATTTACACTTTATTCACAATTCTGAGTAACTTATGCCCTGTTCACTCAGATGGCACCACTCTATCGTCTTCTACACTTTTGGAAAATTCCAGAACTGATCACATCCGGTTTACCACCGTAAAACTTTCGGCTTTATTTCGATCGACACACACAATTTCCACTTATGCACTCAGCATATTCCCAAATTGCACTCAGTTTAATTTCAACTCACGAACTCCAATTTTAATCATCGATTAACTTCTTTTCCACAACACTCAATTGAGGAACACTAATCATGGCGATCACACTCAGCGTCTCAAGTCCATTTCCGGTTAAGTCAGCACTCGCAAATTTCGTTATACTCATACGAATTCGACAAATTTTACACTCAGAATCTGATAGTCAATTTCTCTACTTAAAAACTTTGAGTCTGTCTCGGTCTACTCAAGATTATTACCGCTAATTTAAGAATAACTATAAACTCATTAATGGCGTCACCACGTGCTCTACGACGCGCTTCCAAACTACCGAGAATTTCAATTAAAAGTCCGAATTCCGATTTATTAGGTTTTCTTATCCCACTTCTGAAAACTGTAGTAATGTTTTTGTCAGGAAATGATAGAATAAAACAGATTAGTTATTAATATAAAGATATAATTTATTAGTCGTAGAGCAACGTCTTAATTTATTCGCGGTAAGTTACAGACTGTCCCCCCGTCTTATTACTGGTGATGACCCCCCTTTATACATTGTCACTCATGCGCAATAATTACTTTAAAATTAAACGTTCACAACCATACTTTACTACTACACGTTAAAGTCAGACAAAATGAATTCAAGAACTTAAAATTCAGTGATTTTTTAAAATAATGTTTGGTTAAGTAGTAAAAACCCGTATCAGTCAGACACAGTGATTAATGATTAATAATTTAAAAATATAATTAATTATTTATTAATAATTAATAGTTGTAATTAATATTATTAATATTATCTACTAATTTTATTAATCATTATTAATATTAATTATTGATTAAAATCTAGTTTTCAGTAGTAAAAACCTATCTATCGTTCAAATCAGTTTCAGTCAGACAAGAAAATTCCATTTTCTTTTAAAGAAGTTTGTCAGCGAGAACATTTTTTTCTTCTTTTCTTTTTTGCTTTTAATCTAAGTAAATAAAAATTCAGGTCACTTGATTTGTGTATCACAATAATGATAATAATAATTTCTATTATCGAACTGTTAGTAGTATAAATGTAAAATATAAATCAGACTCTTGTTTTTTTTCGTTCATTTTCTTTCTGCATATTTATCAGCAATAATATTTCATCGTGTATCGAATACTGAGAATAATTTATTTATTGATTTTAATAAAAAGAAAAGCACCCTTTTTAATTATACGTTTATTGAAATTGGTATATAAAGGAAACTTTTTCTGTTTAACATGGCTGTGCACTTCACTTAAGCAAAAACAGCGAATGCAATGAATAATCGATTATACGGTTTGTCTCTTAAGAATAAATAGCAGAGAGAGAGACTTCTCTCTCTCCCTCCGTCTCCCTCTCTCTCATTTTCTTTGTTTATAGGTTAAAAGAATTGAAAAATTTTAATTTGCCATTTTATAATTTTTCTTTTGAATACTGTTAAAATAATGTTCACCAATTGTTAACATCTAATGTCCCGAAAGTGTTGAATGTTTCAAATTAACGACCTTATTTTTATTATTTTTAAAAATTTTTAATTTTATTACAAAAAATTGTTTCTTTAATAGATGAATTTTTATCTAAATGTTAAATTGCAATATTTTTTATTTTAGTTTAGTAATTTTTAAAAATATTGTGAAAAAATCGTTCATTTGAACGTTCAAAATTTTTTTGAGGAGAAATTACTATTTTTAACATTTATTATCATTATTAAAAATACTAAAAAAAAGTTAAGTGACAAAAAAATTATTATTAGCGTTATTAATTATGGTTTTATTGTATATTATTTCAGGAATGGACAGATTACAATCTCCAGTGGAACGAGTCAGAATATGGTGGAGTTAAAGGTCTTCGTATCACACCCAACAAGTTGTGGAAACCTGACGTCCTCATGTACAACAGGTAACATTATCTTCTTTACTAAAATTCAACAAAGCATATATATTATACATATATCTAATTATAATTAAAAAGTTTAATAATTAATTATTTATTTTTTTTTTTACTTAATTTAAAATAATTTAATAGTTGAAATAATTAATAATATACAACTTAAAAAATTTTGAGAGAGAAAATCAAAACGGTTTTACAAAAATTTTAGTGATGTATGTCGTGCAATTTTTATTCAACGACAATTTCGCAATTAAATTCTCGAGCATTTCGTTAAAAATTTTTATTTATTTTTATTACAAATAAAAATTTTTTTTTTATTAATAAAATTAAATTTAATAATTCTGGTTCGTTTCTTTTATTAAAAAACAAAGATAGTGTCTATTTGCTCAATGTACATCATTAAAGAAATGTATATGTACAAATTAAACATACTTTCTAAATCTGAATTAGCGAAATTTCACTAAAATCAGTGGTATACTTATCGCTATTTCAGATTTAGAGAGTAATTTTTATTTATAATTGATAAGTAAATATTTAAATTTGATAAATCAACGATATTTTATTTGACCAAAAGAAAAGTAAATTCAGAAACAAAATAAAAAAAAAACCATAGAAAATAAAAGAAAATAAAAGAATATTAGAAAAGAAAAGAAAATAAGAAACAATAGAAAACAAATGAAAATAAAATATATTAAATTGAATTAAAATTTTAAATAGAAAATTGAAATTTAAATAATTTTATGCAAATGTAAATAATAAACGGTAATTTTTTTCCTTCATCGTGTTAGGGAGACAAATTAAAAAGTTGTTTTCCTTCTGGTTTACAAGAAAATCAGATGCAAAATTTAGGGTTTATAGTGATATAAAAATTACGATTTATTTCGGTAATTAAATCAGTAAATTCTTATAAGAATAAATTTTAAATGTAGCAAAAAAAAAAATGTTACATTTTTTCTATGTTAAAACAATGCAACAACTCGGACGATTGAAAAAAAGTTTAATAGAAAAAAAAGTCGACTGATCTTTTTAAAGTCAAACATATTTTACGGTTAACAAAAAAACATTAGAATTTTGAAAATTACTTAGAAGAATGTTTCTGCTTGTCTTCTACTAAGAAAGTAAAAATTATTTTGTACATATAGATTTATTTCTAGGCTAGCTTTTTCTAATTCGCATTCTATGCTTTTTGAAAATCCCTCTAGTTCTATTTTATCATCCTAATCATAAAAACGTATTTTGTCATTCTTTCATTTTTGCGTTCATTTATTTTCTATTTACTTACCGAAAAAACAAAAACCGAATGGTAATAATGCTTCAAGTTAACTGTAAAATATAGATGAAAAAAAGATGAGTCAACTGGAAATAAATTAAGAGTATTCAACGTCTTGAAAAATAAAATACTCTTAGTTCAAAAACGTAAAATCAAAAAAAGTAATTTAAGTTTAGAAAAATAAAGTCTAAAAAAATAGTCTAAAAAAATACTCGATGTTTAAAAAAATAGTTTAAAAAAATAAACGAAGTTTAAAAGAACTCAAAGTATAGAGAACTATAGTTTGAAAAAATACTCGAAGTTTAGAAAACTATTTAAAAAGTCTAAAAAAAATACTTTTACATATTAACTATATACAGGAATACGTGAAAAAAATTGTTAATTATTTTTCAAAAAGGGAAAAAAAAGAGAAAAAAAAACAATTGACAGAGGGATAATCGTCGAAAATAGCATGAAAAAACGGAATTAGTGTTCATAGAATTTAGAATGTTTCAGAGAAATCATCGGCAAGAGAAAATGAAAGCTGCTGCTCGAACGATTATGGATATAGCCAGTAACAAAAATATATTCTATTCGCTAAATTATTCCTATTAACCCACGTTCGAGTGCAGTAAAGGTTGATATAAATTAGGATTGCGTAGTTTCTCTCTTTTTTCATTATTTTTCTCAAATTTACAATCATATAATTACAATACCTAGATTTCAAAAAAAAAAAAAAAAAAAAAATTTAATTAAAAGCGAAGGGTATGTAATTTTGTTTTTCCCCCCTGCCCCCAGTGTTGCTTCGCATCTTATTTTATATATATTATATATTATATATTACATAAGTATTAAAGTATATCGAGTACCCCTTAATTTGCATGTATTAATTATTTGATTCCATGCTAGAAGTATAAGCAGAATATATATATATAATTTTCCTTTATCTTAATATATATATTAATACTCGTATATTATATATAAGTACCTACATATTTTCAACTTTTGTAAATATATATACTTACTCCTACGCAACGATATCAATCCCGTTATATTTATATAGTAGATATATAAATGGTATATATTTATATACTCTTTTTTTTATATACGAGTCGGTCAGTTTTTTTTTTTTATTTTCGCGCTTTTTTTCCTTTCTTTCGAAAAAGGAAATAATCTTATTTTGAGAGAAAGGAAAAGAAAATAAAACTAAGAATCAGAATATAAAAATAAATAAAGCAAAAAAAAAACAAAAAAATAAACGAAAAGAAAAAAAAACGAAAAGAAAACAAAAAAAAGTACGGGAAAAAAATTCTAGTGAAAATATGGCAATGTTTATATCGAAAATCTATAAGAGCTCTTTAACTGGTCGACTCGTTCGGAACGCACATTTTTTTTTAATACAAAGTATATAGAAAAAATATATAGGCGACTAGCGACCACCATAGTATTCATTTGTCCCGGTTTTTTCTGTACATAGGCAATTTACGAATGTGTCTTTTTTTACCGATGAAAATTTTTTTTTCTTTTTTCAATTTTATTTCTTTTTTTTTATCGAATTCGGATTTTGAGAAATAAGTGTTTAAGAATTTCTTTTTATTTTTCTGAACAAATTTCCAAAGAATCATTTTATACCCATTTTGTTATAATTCTTAACTTTTTTCTATTTTTTTTTAGTATTTTTTATTTTTATTTTATTTTTTCTGTATTTTTTGTATCACGGAAAAAAACTTTCGCCTCGAACAACTACAAATTTTACTAGTTTAGCGAAATTTTTCGTTGTAATTATGACATTCGCTAATCGAGAAAAACTTATCGCTGTTTCAGGCAAAGATTTTTTCCTTGTATTATTTTTTCTGTACTTTTTTGTATTTTTTCTGAATCTTTTTTTTTTGTATTTTATTATGCATTTTTTTTTAATAATTTTTTCCTGACTTTTTTTGTTTTTATTTATTTCTGTCTTGTACAGATTACAATTAAGTTTTTAGATTTTTTTTTGTACTTTTTTGTATTTTTTTTTTTTTTTTGTATTTTGTTGGATCTTTTTTGTATTTTTTTTTTTGTATATTTTTAGGTATTTTCCAAAAAATCCAAAACCTTGTAGATTAACTAGTTTATAGTGACTAAAATAAACATTATAATAATCATTGGATGACTGCGGCGGAGTGTGTTGTGTGTTTAAAAAGCGCGCGCGCTCTCTGTCCAGGTAATCCACATAAAATAAATTGTACATCCATGCTCGCTTTTCAACTGGTTCGTATTTTTTATCGCGCATCGATCGTCGTCGCTTCTGATGTGAATTTCGCGAAAGTATCATTTTTCTGCTGCTATAAACCGATACAAATGTATGCCGTGGGGTTAAATTTACATTCGTCGAACCCCCCGGCCCCCCGGACCCACCTAATCCCTGGAGAGATGATAAATTCAGGGTCCAGGGGAAAAAAATCACTGACAACAAAAAACCTCGATTCTAACACTAATATTTTCCAAATAATTTTTTCTAATAATTTTTTTTTTTATTTGTGTATAGAAAAATTGAAAAACAAATTTTTTATTTCTATGGAAAATTGAAAAACAAATTTTTTATTTCTATAGAAAATTGAAAAACAAATTTTTTATTTACGCTGAAAAAAATATTTTTTTAATGTCTGATTCTTTTTGAAAAATTGAAATTATGAAAAAATTGCATTTGCATTTTATACTCTTTGCAGGAATGTAAAAAAAATTCGAAGCATTTTTTTTAGTTTTTTTTTAGTTCAACTTTGAGAAGAAAATGAGTTTTATTAATGAAGTCTATTAATTGGAATTAAAATCGATTTTTTTTATATTTTTAACTTTAAAAGAAATGAATTTTATTGATAAAATTAATTATCTCCTCGAATATAAGAAACTGTCTTTTAAATTTATTCAGTTTTCAACTTTAAGAATAAAATTAACTTTATTAATAAGATTCATTGAAAAATAATTTATTAATAAAAATTAATTTATTAATAAATTAATAAACATTTAAATTTGTTTGGGCATTTTAAACTTTAGTAACATTTTTTCGTAGAGAAAAAAAATATTCGTTTAATTCTCACGATGAGAAAGTAGAGAAATATCCGTTTAGATGAATAAAGATTTTTTTTCCCCATTTCACTAAGTAAGTTATCTCCAGAGAAATTCTGGTTAATTAAGTTATTAAGAAATTACAGTTCATATTCAATACTGTCGTTTTGCTGAACTCTGTAAAGAATTATGAAAAATTTATTTTAAAAATAAGTTGAACTAAATTTTAAAATGAATAATTGAAGAAGAAGAAATATAATATTTCTTTTTTTGGAATATTCGATCTTTTTTGAGTCAAGAAGTTTGATGATACAAAAAAGATTTTTTTTTTACTTAAAAGAAATATTTTATTGACTCAAAAATTTTCTTGTTTCAAGAGAAAAATTTTTTTTGACTGAAAATAAAATGTTTTATTGACTCAAAAATTTTATTGACTAAAAATGAAAGTTTCTTTTGACGTAAAAAAATTTCATTGACTCAAAAAAATGTTTTATTGACTAATAAATTGTTATTGACTACAAGAAAATCTTTCATTGACTCAAAAATTATTTTGACTCAAGAGAAAAGTTTTTCTGACTCAAAAACTTTGATGACTCAAAGAATCAAAAAAAAAATTGTAAATAAAGTAAAATAAAAAAATAATAAAATTTTCTTTGAATTAAACAAAACATAATAACGAATAATAAAAAAATAATAATGAAACATTAACAAATAATATTTCTTTTCTTTCATT